TAAGAATACTCCATATATATCATCACATACTTGCAAAAAAAAAAAAAAATCCAAAAATTGCCAATCAAATAGAAACTGACATAGTGGAAAACAAGCCACCAGGGCATGTAAAAGTCATATAGAGAAAATAGCTAATCGCTTGGAGAAGCGCCATAAACTTTCATAAGCTGGTAGAATAAAAACAACTTATTCTAGGATATGCCATGTCATAAGTTCACTGAGATGCATAACCTCACAAAAGTTCTTTCATTTAGATGTCTCACCAACAATAGCATCACTAATCTTAGAATAAAACACAAGATGATTCCAAAGGAGAAATCACACTCAAATAGAAGATGAGCAATGTTTTTTCAAAATTGTTGCATAAGTGACAAGTAGAAAGAGCGTGAATACCTCTTTTCAATAACTTATCAGCAATTTGAAGACCACAAATCAAAGCCAGCCACAAATAACAAGAGTGGGTAATATAATAGTTCTTATGCTACATGAAGTTGAGCCACTAGACATTAGAAGAATTATCATAGAAATCCAAAAGAAAATACTGAAAAGTCGGAGAATCAAGGTTTCTCCAACACAAGATAGCTCTTCTAGAGGTAAAGACACAAATTTACATAACTAAACTTCTAATGCCAGCAGGTAAAGAAGGTAGGTGCCAAGAGTCATTAACTATAAAGTGGGAGGTGGTTGCATAGTGAGGAATAGAAAAAAGAATATTAAAGCCAAAAAATTCAAATAGGATTTACCACTGCACTACAAGGCTCGGGAAATGAAAAGTTTGAATTTGTAGAGAATGTAAAATTAAGGTTACATTTGATTCTCTCTATGATCTTACAAATATCAAAAAGAACATCTCTGTGGCAATATTTCTCAACATGTGAACTATTTTTCTTTGCACCAGGCCGACAAGAGACTTTTAGAAGAGTAGAATCTCCAAATAATAGTGCAACTATAGGCATGAATTCTCCCTTGAAGGCAAAGGAGACCCAAACCAACCTTATGCTTAGGCAGAAATGTATTTTGCCAGGAAAAAAGGTGTAACTTCTAAGCATTGGAATTGCCGTGATAGAGAAATTTTGCACATTTTTTGTTTATGAGTTTATAACAAGTCTTGGGTATAATGCAGCCCTTGATCCAGTAGGAAATATAGTTACATATGGTATATCTAATGAATTGTAACCTCCTTGCAAAAAAAAATCTTTCCAACCATCAAGCAAAGGGGAGATTTTAGTACTCATAGGGTGGAAATCACTAACATTGAGCTTCTTAAAAGATATGGCAAGACAATATACTTAAAGGGAAAGTCTGAAGTAGAAAGATTATGAATGGAACATATCCCATGTCCATTTGCACCACTATTTTAGAAAAGAGCTCGCTCTTGCAATTGTTAATCTGAAGCCCCAAATGGAGGCTAAATTCAACCATAATATTATTGAGAGCAGAAGCATTTTAAGAGGTAGCCTCGCTAAAAACTAAAAGATCATCACCATAAAGTAAGTGTGTAAAGTGGTATCACACTTTATAAATGTCCTTAAATTCATTGTTAGAGTTGTATCGATCAAAGAGGATAGACAAGCCATCCATGACAATATAAAAAAGGTATGGCAATATGGGGCATTCATGATGATGACCAAAGGATGACCCAAAGAAACCCTCAAGGCTACCATTCAAAATGATCGAGAAATGCACATCCTCAAAACAAGTTTTAAACCAATAAAAAAAGCGAGAGGGGAACCCTTTTTGCTCCAATATATTCAAGAGGAAGTTACGAGAGATAATATCTAAATTTTTGTAAATATCCAAATTCCTACAAAACAAACCATTTCAAGGGTTAGCATTAAATTCCCTCAGAAGTTCAGAGGTAAGAGATATATAATATGATGCAACCCTTTTGCTGATAAACCCCGCTTGAGAGGGCTTATTGTATGTGGCATGAGAAGTTTGATCATGTTAGCAAGGATCTTAGAAATAATTTTTTAAAAAAATGTTACAAAGAGAGATGAACCTAAAGTCATAAATATTAGCCTAAAGTTAAAAATATTTTTAGCATGGGGTTCTTAGGAATTAGAGTAATGGCAGTAACTTTAGACATCCTATGGAGATGAGAAGTGCTGAAGAATGCTGAACAACCTTGTAAACTAGGGGTGAATTAATAAGCTAGGTAAGCTTGTATAATTTAAAGTTAAATACATCAGGGCCAAGGACAAACACTTTTGGGACAATATAAATTATATTTTTTATCTCTTCCTCACAAGGAGGGGCAATGAGGGAGGGGATCATGAAATGGGGAATGATATTACTATAGAGTTAAGGGTTGAGGTTTATTTGAGGAGGTTGTTGGTTATTAAAATGGGTTTAAAATGAGATATATAAGCATGGGAGATTTTGTTATGAATACTAGGGAGTGAAGATTTCTAAATAAGATTTGAGTTTTTTTTTTTTTTGTACTGATCGCTCTGAAAAAATCTTTTAAATAAGGTAGGAGTGAACCTCGCCCTTATGAACTTAGGGATTCTCTTTAATTTTCCCTTGAGGTTAATTGAGTTTAGTGTTTAACCAGATTTCCCCTAACAATAATGTCAGCATTTATTTAGATATGGGTTCTACTTCCTATGAGCGTAAGCCCTCATAATTAATTACCCCTCTTAACACATTAGAAGAACACTCTTGATTAAGGATAAAATACACTTAACTTCATGCGATGAGTGTGAGAATATGAAACAAAGATTTAAATTTAGCTATGGGGGGATGAAGGTACACCCGATCAATATCCCATGGTTTCATCATATTAGGCTTATCATAGGTTCAGTCTACCAACTCTAACAATCATTGATTATAGTGTACATGGAATTTGATTAGTAGCCATGGGTTGCATCCTCTTAGGGATCCTGAGTAGACTAAAGTGGAGATGTGTGAATTTTAGTTTGATTTAATTTGGGTTGGGGCTTATGGCTTCCTTAGAAGTTGCCCGTGTGATTTTATTTGGGTAGGGGCTTATGACTTCCTTAGAAGTTGCCCGTTAATTTATTTAGTTTTGGGCTTACAGCTCCAATTAGGAGTTGCCCGTGTGATTTGATCTGGGTAGGGGCTTATGACTTTCTTAGAAGTTGTCATGATAGTGGGACTTACAACCTCTTTTAAAGATATCCCGAAGAATTTTTTTATATATGAGTGGGTAGGTCTTATGACTTTCTTAGAAGTTGTCTAATGATGGGCCTTATGATCTAGCCATATAAGCTAAGCGATCCATATGGTGGGGCTTACAACCTGACCCTATAGACCAGGATGTCCGTTGTGGTTTGA